CCAGACTATCACATTTTTTTTTTTAAATGCCTAAATATTGTCTGATGACATCACATCATGATCATATAGGCACATTATATATATATATATATATATATATATATATTTACATACTATATATTTTTTTTGTCAACAAAATTGATAACGTACACAGAGCTAAACAATTCTTTGATTCGTTGCTGTACGATCATTATTGATTAAATTTTGCATGGATTATCATGATCCTTGTTCAAGCAACACGCATTAACTCCAATCAGATACTGCTCCTCTTTGCATTTTTATCTCTTTCCCGACTTCACATTAACATAAGCTGTTTCTTCTTCTCTATATTGTAGATCTTGGTAAGTCTGGTTTTCATTGCCAGCAGTTGGCCTATCTGCCGTGAAGTCCATGTAAGTCTGTGTCGAGATATGGAATGCAATATATCAATGTAATTTATCGTTTGTAACTTGTTGCTTAATTGAAATGGATTTATACGCTTTTATACATTCTTAAAAACACATTCTCACTGGCGCTCATCCATAGTGATAACTAAGCAACAAGCGAGGACATGATAGAACACAATCAAGTGTGTGAGTGAGTTTTGAAAAATATATAAAATTCGGGAGGTTTATAGATTATTTTAGAGGGCCTATTCCCAAAGATTTAAATATTGGAGTAGGCCTACGTTTTACAAGTATACAAACACTTTTAATAATCCGTAGAATATCAACTGTCAGTCGGCATATTGTATGTTTTTTCATTGATATCAGACTTTGTTTGGCCTAAAAACCGAAGCGGTTGCATACCATTGTTAGGCCTGAATATGGAAAGAATCAGTGTTATCAACGATGTGGATAGGGACACGGTACTGGAACCATTGTCGTTTGACCAACGTATTATAATTTATGGGTAAGTCTAGGAAGGCGTTATCAATAGAATATATTATTAACCTCAATCTTTTGAAAAATGAAACACATAATTAGGCCTACAGATACCATGGCACGTGGCACAAAGTGGATTGGTAACACATATCAGAGGTGAATTAAAATAAAAACTTACATCTTGTTTACTCTTGTCCGTACTTCTCTTGTCTATTTTTGTCTTCTAAATTGTAATTAAAAAAAAATATTAATACAATTTGCAGTCATAACTCTTTCTGTCGTTCTGTTTAGGCCTATTTGTTTTATTTAAATTTTACAATTAATTTATATGTTTATTTATGTCCCCCAAGCGCTTGTAAGTAGTTCATCCCTGACCAGGAAAGGACGAAATATTTTCAACAGTCATTTTGAAAGCATGAATTGAGTAACACCTCAAAACAAGGTTATTGACTTTTCTCGGTTTCATTTATGCCGTGCCCTTGTCAAACAATGAAGTACTGTACAATAATAACCAATAAGCTGCTACATAGGCCTATTGGTTAACTTATTTCCGTGTAATTTCGATTCATCATATTTCGCATTAGAGAGGCAAAAAAGGAGAAAAATTACAAAAATGCTTATAGAGGCTGGAAAACCCATGTCTGGTGTTATGTATCACCGGATTTTTTTTTATCAGTGTGGCCAGCCTAGGAACCAGGGGAAGTATTGTACTAATCATAGTAATAATCAAGTATGAACTCGGCTAGACTGATAAGAATAAGATATAAATATATTTTTAATTAAAAAATTGTTATTTTATTTCTTTAAGTGCAGAATAAAGATAAACACATGAAACATGTAGAATGCAAAGCAGGAATTCGATATTTTTTTCTTGTGTTCCACAATCTTTAAAATATACCAATGATATCTTCTTGCATTCAAAGAACTTATAATGTAAATATAAAATATTTCTTAGATGTCTAATAAAGTCATCGTTGAGTAAGTTGGCATTAGCTTTAATTTAAGTAATGATTGTTATAATTTTCTCACATTTGCTGTCTATTTACTTTAAGTTGTTAATATCATCATGGAGGAATTAATTGATTCCTCCATGGGACCATGATATCATATAGGGGGCCTAGTATAAAAAAATTAATTTAAACGTTTAGTATGTCTCTTGGTATATTTCCTAAAAACAGAGGGCGCTCACATGTTTTAGCACTCTGTGAGCTACAACTAACCCAAAATTCAAATCGATGTTTTCCCTGGATACGAAATGGTTAGGTTATCCCTGACACCAGGAAGAACCTAAAAAATAAATTCAAAGCAATTTCGCACGTCATCGGTAGGCTAGTTCTCTAAACATTGTTATATGATTGAATTAACAACAAGACTGCATTTTACCGTTTTGAAATAACAAAGGTCGCCATAGCTTACCGATGAAACCATGCAACACGATGACTTATGATATACGGTGTTACTGCTGATTTTGCCTGTTAGTTAACTTACTTCCGTGTAGTCGATTTATTTATTGATTTATTTCGCATTTAAAATACAGATTAACATTGATAAAAATGTGAAAAGTTCACAAAAGTTCAAACTGAGGAGGAACTAGTTGTTGAATACCTAATGAAAATAAATCCCAGATATAGCCTAAAGCTAATCTTAAGAATTATTACCAATAAGTGGTATAACCAGGGAGTTGTTCTAAATAACAACTCCCTGGTATAACAAATTGTACTAAAAAAATTTACACGGCGGTTTGGCGTAGCAATTTCCATTCAGGTTCTGAACCTGTCGTGGCCAGAATGATAAGAATAATATATAAATATATTTAAAATGCTAAATATTAATTTCGATTGATGATTTTGCTTTAGAGAAGCAAATGAAAAAGGAGACAAATTACAAAAAAAAAACCAAACAAACAAACAAAAAAAACCTCACGGTGAAGCTGCAAGACCAATGCCAGGTATTATTACCACCAACAATTTCCAGTGGAGCTGGCCTCGAAAAAAAAAAAATTGTTGTACAAATATAAAGAGAATATAAAGAAAAATATATATAGTAATAATCAGTAAACACGGCCAGAGTGATAAGAATAGGATATAAATATATTTTTAATTCACAGTTTTGTTCCAGTTTCACTTTAAAAAAATGTACAAACAAAGATGAACACATGAAACAGAGTAGGAAATAAAATTTCTTGTTGAGGTCCACGTCTTTAAAACATGCAAATGAATATTTGTGTTCACAGCAATAATGTAAATATTAAAATGTTTGTAGATGTCTAGACGCCAATATTGAATATGTTGACATTAGCCTTAAATTAATTAATTATTATAGATAACTTTTATCTTATTTGCCATCTATTTACTTGCATAAGAAATTTAAGTGAACTTTTTTCAACATTGCTCTTAGCCGACAGTATTCGGAAATATCGTTCTAAAAAAGAGAGGGCGCTCACATGTTTGAGCACTCAATGAGCCACAGCCCCAACTTCAGAAGTTATGTTTTCCCCGCGATACGAAATGGTTAGATTATCCGTGACACCAGGAAGGAACTAAATAATAATAATTTCAAAGAATCGTTTGAACGCAATTTCGCACCAAGGAGTTATTATGTGTACACAAATTGATAAAAATATACAGTAAGTTCATAAATTTACAAAGAGGAGAGGGATCGTTTGAATGTCTTGATGACGCCAGCCCAGTGTTTTTGGTTTTTTTAATTAGAAGATTAATAATTGACTCAGAAATAATAAAGTTAAATAATTATAAAATAGTACAGTAGGCCTAATATTTTATTTAACAATACCTTTTAGCCACAATCCTTTTCAAATACCGTACTAAATAATATAATTACTGAATGAATA